GCATCTCATGATAACCCGATCGCAGATTAATCTTGGAGAACCAAGATACACCCTGAAGTTGGTCGAATAGATCGTCAATCATCGGGAGGGGATAACGGTTCTTCACCGTTACCTTATTTAACTCTTGGTAATCTATACATATACGATGTGACCCGTCCTTCACAAACAGCATTAGGGCTCCCCATGTCGAACTGCTCGGCCTGATAAATCCCTTGTCTAACATCTCCTACAGTTGTGTAGACAACTCTTGCATCTCGAGATGAGCCAACCGATATGGTGCATTGGCTATCGGAGCCACACCAGGAACAAGGTCAATCCTGAACTCTACTTGCCTCTTCGGAGGTACCCCAGGAAAATCCTCTGGGAACATATATGGGTACTCACGTACGATCGATACATCATCCACATTCGCCTTACCATTATCCTGGGTATCCATGACATAGGCAAGATAACCCGCGCAACCATGTTGTAGGTAGCGTCTCGCCCTCGCGGCTGAACACAAAGTCGGTCCACACTGTGGCCTCTCGCCCTGAATCACCAAGCCTCCCCCACTTGGGGTCCGAACTCGTACTAGCTACTGGTCGCAGTCGATTAGTGCCCCATTGCTGCTCAACCAGTCCATACCTATGATAACTTTATTCCTTCATAGGTGATGGGGACTAAATCCACGAAAAACTGCTCATCGAACAACTCAGTGTACATCCCCGGTGAACCCCCGCAACCCGAACGGTCCTATCATCCGCTATCTCTACATCAAGTGGACGGTTCAGCTCTCCTGGAGCTCCCACACATTGCTTGCTGAGTGCGAGTGATACAAAAGTCTAGGTAGCCCCCAAATCAAATAATACCAGAGCAGATATACCGTTCACAAGGAACGATCCTATAATGAAACACATAAACATAAACAATAAATCAATATAAATAAAGAGATAAAGAGAAGATACATACCCGTCACAACATCGGGAGCTGCAAGTGCCTCCTATGTTGTCAGCTGGAAGGCTCTGCTCTTCGCCACGGACACCTCTGTCTGGCCTGACGGCCATCGGTAATCCTCAATGTAGCAGGAGCGGGTGTCGCCACCTCTCCTGCTGCTGCTAAACTCGGACACTGGGATCTCATGTTGCCCCTCTGGTTGCACTGAAAGCAAATCAGATCAGATACTGTCATGGTGGTGATGGTAGCAGTACAGTCCCTGCTGACATGACCAGTTCAGCTGCACTTAAAGCAGCCCGAACTACCTGCCCTGCACGTCCCCTCGTGCATCTTGCCGCACTTGCCACCGAATCTGCGGCCCTGTCAGTTCGTGTATTCCTCCTCATTTGTGCTTTTCTTTCTAATTTAATGTTGATTTCCACTTGCGTTTGTAATTAATTGTAAGAGAAAAAATCAAGAAGGTTTTTCCTCCACTGTCATAGCCCCACCGTCGGTTGTTGCTGTGAGCGGCGACAAGTACCACCACCACTGCACCAACTATTGATTTCATGTTCTACTTACTATGATTTTCGAAATTAATTGCAAAATATGTGTGTAATTGATATATGTATTTCAATTTGGTGTATGTATGTGAAAATATATGTTTTTGGTGTGTATGTGGTTGTTTAGAATATGTGGTTAAACATAAAACTTGTTGTTTAGAATTTATAAAAACTTAATAATTTTGTTGCACACTTATTTTGTTTATTTGAAACAAAGTAGAATAGTTGAAATTTTTATAGTTTGGAATATTAAAGAGCATTATTTCAAATAAAGATTTATACAAAATATGGAGATTGTGGACTTGAAAATTCACATGGGGAAGCTTTAATTAAATTCACTGGCTTTCTAGTTCAAATTTTAACCAACTCATAAATTTATCAATTATCATCATTAACAATGTAATATTAAGAGTAAATGTACTAAATGTTTATACATAAATAACTTATTTTCAAATCGAGATATCACATTATATTATGTTGGGATATTTATTTTCAAATCGAGATATGAAATTATATTATGTTAGGATATGGTCTAATATGTGAAAACTAAATGAAAACACTCTTGTAAATCAATAACGTTTTTCATAAGGTTATATGATAACTTAAGTTATAAATATCGTCGATGAATGAAGCTATATAGATTTGATATATGTATGTGAATTTGGTGTATGTTTGTGACTATTTGTGTATTTTGTATAAGTAGAATGTTATTATGTATTTATGTGAAAGTATGTGCTTTCGGGCAATAGCGACAGAGCACTACCGATAACTTTTTATTGGCGACATGTCGTCGCTATTGCCTTTACCAATGACATCTCTAACTTTTACCAGTGACTTCTGTCGCTGCTATTTCCTTTTTTTTTTCTTGTAGTGATACCCTTTTGCCCTCAATTTAATCTAATGGTGATGGAAGTGGTTATGTAGTTACAGTATGTTATTTGGTTATCTATAGAACTCACACATACATACATACACAGAGAAAGAATGAAAGAGAGAGAGAGAGAGAGAGAGAGAGAGAGTGTGAGTGAGTGAGTGAAGGAAATAAACAATACATATAAATTCTAAGAATCAGGTTGAATTGGATGTCAAACCTGTTGAACCAAAAAGTAGTCACTAGACCGATTCAACTAAAAGTTGGTTTTTAAATAATTACATCAAACTTAAATCACCCAGAAACAAGTCAACAAAGCAAAATGTTAATCACTCAAAATTTAAGTTATATGGTATTAATAAAAATATTCATATTTCCCTCCAAAAGAATTGTTTTCAACAAGTGATAGTGTAAATACATTTCTTTTAAGTAACATTTAAAAGAAAATAATGGTAGAATAGTCATTTTAATGTTTAGTTTGGTTTTGCACTTGCATGCAAGGGCGTCTTTGTATTTTATCATAGTTTTATTTTAGGGATACGGGAAAATGACTTACCAAGGAATCATTTTTGTCGTTTTGTTCACATTTAGGCAACTTCTTTATTTTTATACACATTTAACAATTTAAATTTTTATATGTGTTCACAAATTATGGTTGAATGTATATAAAAAAAAAAGTTGCCTAAACATGAACAAAACCAAAATTAATTACTCTGATAAATCATTTTCCCCACTTTTAATAGCGATTTTATTTTTCATATTTGTTTGTATTATTTTTTTCAAACGTTATTTTTTAAATATCCATAATTTCCTAAATATCAATTAAATATTGATCAATTCTAAACTTTATATTTTAATTAATAAATATATTTTTGTTTTGTGAAATATTTTATATAACCTCTTATAATTCTATTCTTTTGTTTTTATATATATACAATATTTTTATAGTAAATAGTAACTAACAATAAAATTAAATAAATTAAATATGTAACAATAAGTATAGAGAGTCTTTTGAAAAATAAAAAGAAAATATTACTTAGCAAATAAAAAAATCTATATAATGTAAATATTTTTATATTATTAAACTTTTTAATACTTTTTAATTAGAAGTTTTATAAACTTTTAATTTTCTTAATACAATATTTTAAACTAATAGTTAACGAAAGTATTTTAAAATGTTATAAAAAATATGAAGTTGTCATATAAAATCTGTGAAACACTTTAAAAATATTGTAAAAAAAAATTTAAAGATAATTGTATGAAAGTTATAAAAAAATTGTATGAAAATGTAAAAAAAAAAAGTTAAAAACTTGTAAGAAAATTTTAAAGTATCATTTCTAATAAATGGATGTTTTTTTGCCACTTGTCAAATTCTCAAGAGTTTTACCACATGTAATTTTTTGGGAGTTTTAGAATTATTATTTTCCACTTGTCATATTTTGGGAATTTTCATTTTTTAAAATAAAATTTCACAAAATTCTAACAAGTTTTATAAGGAAAAAGAATCATTCTGTTAATTTGATAATAAAGTCTCATAAATACTCTAAAAAATAGTTGATTTTTTTTTATAAATGTTCTAAAAGATTACATTATGTTATGTAAAAATGTTATTTTATAAAATATTTAATCTTTAAATATTGATAAATTTAAATTTTTAAGAAACCCATGTAGTAAACGGGTATCACATTTAGTTTAAAAAATATTTGGTTTAAAAGCACTTGCATTAAAATTATATGAAAGTATAAAAAAAGTTATATATATATATATATATATATATATATATATATATATATATATATACACACACACACACACAAAGTTTAAAACATTGTATTAGGAAACCTATAGGAAAAAATATCTTTAAAATGTTGTAAGAAATTATCAAAAGTCTTAAGAAATTTGTAAAAAAAATATTGTTCACATTCATACAATTTTATTTTTTTGTACACATTTGAACATTTAATTTGTTAAATGTATTCACATATTATCATTGATACCTGTTATATGAGATGACAATGGTAATATGGGAATACATGTAACAAGTTAAATAATCATATGTGTACGAAAAAAATAAAGTTGGTTAAATGTGAAAAAAACGAAAAAATAATTTTCTTAAAAGTCATTTTTCTTTTATTTTATGCTTCTTATACAAATCTCTCAAAAAACCAGAAACCTAAAAGAAATCAGGATTCAAAGAATGTAAAATTTTGTCTTTTAATGCACCATGGCTATCAATATTTACAAATGACGCCAATAGTTTGCGACTATATTTAACAACTTTAATAAGGACCGATGGCACTGAAAATTATGTCACTAATGGAGTAACGATTGCTTATTATATTAGAAAGTTTTGTTTTCAAATAAATTACTCATGTAGTTCACGTATGTGCTATGGTTTCTATTCTTCTTTCAAGATAAAGTTTGGATTTTACTACGTATGTGCTATATGGCTTCTATTCTTCTTTCAAGATAAGTTTGGATTTTGGAATTCTTTTCTGTTACTTCAAGTTTTCTTCTATTCTTCTTTCCACGTTCCTTTAAATACATAAGAATATACATTGTGCTGTGCATTCAAAGTACTTGGTACATATATATCAGATAACCACAAACTTTAATTAATATAAATAAATGTGGTCATTTCAATCTTTTAGCCTATAAATACACAGGATTCATGACTTTTTTTTTATCCCAAACTTCCAATAAAAGGAGAGACGGAGAGAATGGAAGCAAAGGAAGATGAATCGGATAGTTCATTTACCAGTGTCACCTCACTTACCCTAAAAGGTCCAAAAAATATTCCCCAACAATATGTTCTTCCTTCTTTTCAACGATCAAACCATAGCCTTCTTAATCACATATCTACTGAATTTCCAATCATCGACCTTTCCATGCTCAACCACCCTGCTCATATGCCCAAACTAATCAATGAAGTTGGTGCTGCCTACAAGAAACTTGGGTTCTTTCAGGTATCTATTAGGATGCATTTGCAACACTGGAGTAGATGGAACAAGCTTTCTACAACTATTTTCGATAAAGAGGGCGTTACATTCACAAACAAATACTCAAGAGGAAATCTTTGTCCAGCCCTTTTAAGTGGGAAAAACTTTGTCATCAACATGAGTTGCAGTCCCAATCAAACGCACGCCCAAGTAGTAATTAAAACTTGTTCTATCCTATTTTATTGTGCATGCAATTAATTGTATTTTGAGATTTTCTTGTTCCCGGATAAAGAAAAGTGTGTATTTGAAGGTAATAAACCATGGAATTCCTAGTTGGGTCATAAAAGATGCAATGGACTCTGCTGAAGAATTCTTTAGGTTGCCAAGCGACAAGAAGATGTGTTTTGCTTCTACCGATGTTCACGCTCCTGTAAGATTTGGCACTAGTATGAATCATGTGATAGATAAGGTGCTGTTTTGGAGAGACTTCATCAAACATTATGCTAATCCGATATCAGAATGGATCCATCTATGGCCATCGGATCCTCCAAGTTACAGGTAATTAATTGTTTTACCAATTTGAATACGATTAATTAAGCATGACTTTGATCACTTATTTTTTTACACAGAGAGAAGATGGGAAGCTATGCAAAGGCGGTGAATACATTACAGAAGCAATTAATGGAAGTGATCATGGAAAGCTTAGGACTGAATGCGGATTACTTACATGATGACATAGAAGAAGGTTCACAAGTCATGGCTGTCAACTGCTACCCGGCCTGCCCGGAACCAGATCTTGCACTAGGGATGCCACCACACACGGATTATGGTACCCTCACCATCTTAAATCAAAGCCAGCAAGGACTTCAAATTATGGACCAAGATAAAAAATGGCACGTGGTTCCATTTGTTCAAGGTGCCCTAATAGTTCAGTTGGGAGATCAATTTGAGGTGTTGAGTAATGGAAGATACAAGAGCATACGTCATAGAGCCATTCTTGACACGCATAAACAGCGCCTGTCAATTGCTAGTATTCATAGTATGCCCATGGAGAAAAAAGTAGGACCAGCGCCTGAGTTAATTGATGAGCAACACCCCATTGCCTACAAAGAAGGGAGCTTCAGTGGATTTCTTGATCACATATCGGTTAAATCTGTATCAGAAGATACGTACCTCGACGCGTTAAAAATCCATGAAGCATGATATAAACAAGCGTCGAAATTCAAAGGAGGATTTATCATGATGGAGCTTACAGAAGTTAGATGATACAGGGTGTGGTGTGGGCGTGACAACCTTTGGGCCCTGTTCTTTTATTAAGTTTAGGCCTAAAAGTCTAAAATTATAGGCTTCGCTTTCCCTTGTTATGTTAAACTAGGTTAAAACCCGTGGAATTTAGGGTGTTGATTTTTAATTGAATTTAAAAATAAATTATTTAATAAAATAATATTTCTTTAATTTAGAAAACTTATCGAATTTTAATATTGTATTTTTAAATAACATTTTGATTCGTAAGTATTTAATTACAAAGTAAATGGTAACTATTTAATTAGAAATGTAGATTTTTGAAAACCCTTAAGTTACATACGATTGTTATTTCCTGTGATTCTAATAAATATTAATTGAAAAATTAAATAATAATCAATTAGTAAATAAATGGTAATTTAAAATTATGCCAATTAATAATTTACATATTTATGTTATTTGTCTTTAAGTTTATAACTTAATTCTATAATGTAATCAATATTTAATATGTTTTGATGATATTTATGATGAGTTGTTTAGAAAAAAAAGAGTGATTAAAAATGTTGATATTTGGTAATGATATATAAGTTATATTTACTTATAATTGTGGACAATAATATATAAAATGATATTAATAAATTTAAATGGCATTCTAAATTGTAGTGAAATACATAAAACATTATCACTAACAGTACAGTAACAACTTTAAAACACGTAAGTTAGCATGAAAAGTACCCAATTTGTTGCATTAAGAAGATACCTCCAAATGTCTATGGAGAGTTCGCATACCAATAAGCCTAATGCAAAATCAATTATAAGAATCAGATAAATCATGAGATTCTGGTTCAAACAAATTAGGTTAAAAACCTTTTGCTAGCGTAGATTGCAAATCGAGACAAAGGTTGTGAAATTGGAAGTGTTAATAAAATTCAACACATCCTTCCATCTATTGTTCATATTTCTTGATTACAAAACCAGGTAATGGAAATAAATTAGGATTTATAAACGTAAATATTTTAAAATTGAAGGTGTTACATATGTAATTGTGGAGTAGTTCTTTTTGGGATTGATAACTTCAGATTTGGGGGTAATGTGTTAGTCGTTTCCAACTCCTCAAAATCCCATTGATCTCTGAGCAAGACAAACAACACAAATGAAAGATTAATAAAACCAAGATCTAATTGAGATGAGTATTTAGAAGATGACAATGGTTTACAAAAAACCATGACCTATTCTGAGGCGACTTGTTCAGCAAGATAACACGATACAGATAACATAGAGAAGAAGAGGAATTTAGGATTAAGCTGCTACATATATATATTTTTAAATATTAACGTATTTTAATCAAGTCTTATACTCTGATTTTTTTTTAGGATTTCCGTTTCAAATCTAGCAAGATTTTTCGTAAATTTGATTGATTTGCTGTTTGAGTTTCCTAAATAATAATCATTTCAGTGAAAGACATTAATCTGGATACATTATATTTTAATATTTTAATTTTGAAGTCTCTTAATGAATAGATTTTTGTTTTTCTATTGAAATACTTTTTTTTTTTAATAATTTGGCTCTATTTCTATTTTTAATTAGTTTTTTTAATAATCTGTTTGTTTTATGTCATTGATTTGTGAGTCTTTCTGTATACGTGTACATCTACCGCTCCAAAAATCTATGCATGTCACCACATGCTCTTCCAAACTATCCATCATTACTTTCTATGTTGTCTTCCACTTTTCCTCTTTTCTTCGTCCTTCGTCCCCCAGTGGAACCACCGATTTCAGTTCTTGCCACAAGATTTCTCCATGGGTTCTCTCAATTCCTTTGGTTGTTGGAGCTGATATTGGCTGTTCGGTTTTAGGAATTCCTAATCTGTTGGATTTCTATGCTCTATCTCTTCCACTGTTACTCTTTTCTGCTCCATCGTCATCCTCCCCCCCCCCCCCCCCCCCCCCCAATCGGCTCCATCATGATACCAGTAGTGAACAAGCTTCATGAACTTCTTCAAGCCACCAACTTCAGTTCTTGCCACCAGTTTTCCCGGTGGGTTCTCTCAATTCCTTTGGTTGTTGGACGTGATATTGGCTGTTAGATTTTGGGAATTGCTAATCTGTTGGATTTTTAGTGCAGTTGCTTGGGAAAATCGGTACTTGACGACCACCGCTTTTTACACCGACCACTGCATTGCAGTTCATGTCTTCCAATAAGCTATTCACATTTATAGAGACAAAAGTGGGAACCTCCTTCAAAAGATAGTCAGGGTTAGTAGCGATTCTTTGTTCATCTATTTTTAGGGCTTTTTGTCTGCTTATTAAAATCAAATTCGGAGACTTGCTTGTGTGATTTGCATGCGCTCTGTAAATGGTTCCCTGTCGATGGTCTAGCCATACATTCACCGATATCTCCATTGTATTCGATGAAATATATGTTGTTCATTTTCCTGATGAGCAAACTGTGCCGATGGTGATAGCAATTGGATTAAGTTCTTGTGATTACACATATGATTCTTCATTGGATCATGGAAACCTAAGAGTTGAAACATTGTTACAAAAATTAGAAGAGTTTGTGATTAAAGATGAAGAGCTTAATAAGCAAGAATCAGTTGATAGAATTGGATCTACTTTGCTTTCAGGATATCTTTCAATGGCACTTTGTTGTATCCTTTTTCATAATTTCCACCATTTTGTGTTTATCTTATGTTTTTTTAGCATGCATCCTACTTTCATTTCTTTTTATCACAACATTTTATTATTTTTAATATATAAAAAGATTGTTTAAAATAACAACAATGATTAGACATACAAAGAGTATTTCGTTCTAGATCAATTCATCCACAATCTCGGGTATAATTCATAATTCTTCTGCATTCATCAATTAGTTTATAAATTATAATATAAAAATTACCTATTAATTTAATTACTCGGATAAGTAATGACATATTTTGTGTTTACATGGATCACAAGATGGACCTCGACAGTATGTCTCTCAACTTACTTTCTTTCTCTCTCTCTCTCTCTCTCTCTCTCTCTCTCTCTCACTCTCTTTTTCTTTTTTTTTTTTTAATTTCTTTTTCCTTTTATTCTAACAAAAAGATTTTATATTTTTCAGATATGTTGCCATTATGCATTCAATTTTTTCTACTCAAAGATCAATGGTGCGTATACATTCATGTGTTATTCGGTCACAACATTCTGCATTCCTGCAACAGGTGAGTAAATTACAAATTTGTCCCTCTGTTTATCTGCTAAATTTATGAAAATGACCATTATGCCCTTACTTGAATATATATTGCTGGTATATGATTTGCAGGCTTCTTATATAACTGGAGCTGTATATCTGAAGCCACAACAGATAGATGGATTGTTCTAGTATCTAACAATATGTTGAAATATTCCACCCTGACATTTCTTTTAAAAAAACTAAATTAAAGACTATAATTTTTTTTATGCATATAGTATTTGCAACAGTTTTGCATTCAGGAAACTTCTAACAACTCCCAAAACCTGTTGGTGTAGATTTTCGTGCTTCATAAGTTATTTATTTATTTTTTATTTTTTTAATATATATTATTATTTATATGATATAAAGTAAATTTTATTTGATTATTCGAAAAACGATAAAGTTTTTTTGACTGGTTTTCTTAAATTTGAAAAAAAAAATCATACATGTTGAAAAAAGAATGATATGAAGTGTCTGATGTTAAAAAAATGTTTAAAATGTCCAAAAGTGGCAGAAAATTAAAGTTGGATGCTAAAAGACTTTGATGTTGAACATAAACACACACACACAGTAAAACACATAAGAGCTAACTGTTAAAGTACATTGCTGTAAATTGGATATGTTTAATATTAAGATGTTATAAAATACAATTTTAATTTTTTTTCGAAATAAAAGCAACACACACAAATATTAAAAAATTAATAACAAATATAATAAATTATGAGGAAATATATTACGCACATAGAAAGAGAAGATAAAAAAACCACACATAGTAAAACGCACAAAAATCACACACTGTAAAACGAACAATGTAATATGAAAACACACACACACACACAGAGAAAGAGAAGAACACAAAAAGAAACAAAAACAAAAAGAAAGAATTTAAAGTAGTTTTTCATATACTTACCTGATAGATTGAACTTTTGTTAAGGAACGAACATGTGTATTTTCCTCATGTGCAAACTTGATCGGAATAAAAAGACAAAGAAGCCAAAGGAATTTGAAATTTCAAACATAAAAATCTTTATTTGGTGTTCGGGTTTTATAACCGAAATAAAAAAGGAGATTTTAGTCAACAAATTTCATTAATTGTGGTGGAATTTAAACGCAGTCCAGGGTTGCATTCCTTTTATGTTAGATGCGTATTTGGTATAAGGTAAGAGGAATAAATTCAAAAAATAATTGCAGATTTTAAGGGATATAATATATTAAATGTGTTTGAAAACTAAAAATGTTGATATATAGGATACTATGATTATGGATGGGATGAATGACTACGTGATGAATGAATTGAGAGGATGCAGGAAGAATTTAGATGATGCAGAAGGATGCATGATTTCAGTGAGGATGCGGGATTTCAATGCGTGATGAAGAAATTGAGATGATTATATTACTTTACTATCAAATTATATTAGTATTAAATATTAAATTTGGTATCTTATGAGTTTCTTTTTTTGTAGGGATTGGAATGGAATGATGTATACAAAGTATCTTACAACTTACAATCTTATAAATCGGGAAGGAGGTATATCAACCCAATGCTTGTTCCAATTAGAATAACCAAACTTCCATATTTTATTGGATATGATGAATTTGAAATTTGAATTTACGATTTATGCATATTATTTTGAATTATTATTTGGAAATCTTTCATCCACATTAACAAATCTATCTTCGGTATATTTTTTATTGGTGCAGATTTTTCGGATTTATTGATTGACTGTATATGAATATGATCTGGAGGGCAGTTTCGTAAATGTAGATGAGGAAAAGAAGCGGGAAAACACGATTTAAGGCTGCTGGGAGATTGACACGTGGACAGATTCTATTTATTTATTAGGATAGGGGATATGTTTGTCACTTTGTCCGATCTAGGAAAAGAATGAACAAGTTGCTTTCAATGGCGTAAGTCAAGTTTAAATTATAAGATTACTAAATACGAAAAGCTTAAATATGTTGTTCTACTTTATTATTTAACCTAATTGTAATTTTTATCCGATAATCTAGAATTCATACAAATCTATAATTGAAGCTTAGCATATGCATGTAAAAGCCAAAATGCAATGCCTTTACTATGAAACCATGTGTACAAACAAATTAACAAGTAAAAAAATGAAAATAATCTATATAAAGCCCAAAAAATTGTTTTATTGGTTGTCCTGCACAAGTCTTTGTAAAACTATTAGGTTTTAGAATACCATCTAGAATTGTCTCCATCTTAACCGGACAATTTAAGGAAAAGTAGATATAATATAAAAGAAAATGCAGTTCAATTCGGGCATCATCAGTTTTACTTCCGATCACTTTTTAAATCCCAAATAATAAGCGATCAACTGGAAATTGGAAGGAAGAAAAAACGAAAAGCAAAGGAAACGAAGTCGAGGAACTTACAGGATACGGCAAAGAAGAGCAGCGGTGGAGCGAAAGAGGAGTTGCAGGTATCAAAAGCAGCCAGCGCCCAGCAGTAGTGTCGATTTCTCTCAATCGTAACTTCTGAATTAGAAAATAATGAAGACAAATAAACAACGTAGATTAGACAACTGACATATCATACATGGACGGAAGATTGAGGAATGCGTCTTTTTACAGGAATTAATGCATAGTTTCATAGTTTCCCTCTTCTCGGTTACGTTCTTGCGTCCTTGAAACTTTTGTACCCTGTGAGGGCGAGCAAATTGCAGTTGCACATAGAGATATGCACACTTGCGGTCTTATCACTTGTGTCGGACCATTTTAAAAAGTTTTGTTTTTTTTTTTTCGAAATGTCTTTCTTTGATCAAGTCTTTTTTAGACTAGTTTCGGATTTTTTTCGATCCGGTCTCGTGGTCTTTACATGCATATTTTCCGGTTCAGTTTCATGTTTTTTGAGGTTGAATTTCAATGTATTTTGAATTTGAGTTTTCCAGCTAATAAATATATGATAAACATCAAAATGATACATTAGGATTTACTAAAAATGATATATTAAAATTTAATAAAAAAAGAAAGGAAAAAGTTAGGTAAAATGTGATTAAAAATGTGTAATTAACACAAAAATAGAATTTTTATAAAATGTTGCTTCCATTTTTTTGAGACCTCTCTCCGAATGATCCGTCTTTTTTGAGACTCAAAATGGTCTATTCCTTTTTTTTACTGTTCCTGATCCTAGATGATCAGACAATTTTTTTGTCCGGTCGCGTTTTAGATCGATTGATCTCGGGTTTTTTTGATACTAGTCCGAGACATGTCCTTTTGTTCATGTGTAGTTGCACATTCTTAGGCTGTGTTTGGCGCGTCACAGCTAGCTGATAAGCTAACTTATTTTTCGAGCTTTTTTATGTTGTCGTGTTTGGCAGACCAAAAAGTAGTTTATAAGCTAACTTATAAGATAACGTTTAGAAAAGCTACTTAGACTAGCTTTTTAGGAGCTTTTTTTTTTAAATTTTCCAAATATACCCCTTAATTAATTATAGAAACAAATACTCTTAAATGTCATTTTATGTAATTTTATATATTTCAGCTAACTTTTCAAGTAGTTTTACCAACCATTATTTTTTATCAGTTAGTTTTTCAGCTATCAGCTAGCTTTTTATTTAACAGCTAGTTTTTCAGATATCAGTCAGCTTTTCAGCTAGTACGTCAAACATAGCCTTATTATCGTCCATTATATTGGACTATAAAGTCAAACTTTTCAATGACATGTCATCAATGTTAGTTAAAGTTAGTTGTAAATTTGTTAACTTTCGATTAATAGATGTAGAATTTATTATGTTATTGAATAAAATGAAGACTTTATTTCATATCGCTTTCCTTTGATCTTCAATCTATTCTACATGCATGATTTTAGAGCGAGAGTTTTGATCCTTCACTCTTTTCTCTTCTTCTTTGATTCTCTTTCACCTCGGTTGTCAATTTTGAGGCTAGCTCATCAGGTCATATAGTAGGATTTAATGGATCAAAAATTGAGATTTCAAGTCCTTTTTATCTCACCTCATCTAATAATCCGAGCACAATTCTTGTCTCAAAAATCTTGAATGGCACAAGTTTTGTTTCATGGAAAATCTTGAGATTTCAAGATGTGTTTTGTTTATTTATCATGTAATCCTCTAAACAGAAATTCCAATTCCTTTTCAAATTGGAATCAAATCAATTCAATGGTGATTTAATGGATTTTGAATTCGCTAACAAAAAAATTGCTGATAGCATCTTCTTTATTCAAACGAAGCAAGATATTTGGTTTGAGTTGAATCAAAGGTATGAACAATCAAATGAAGCATGGATATAGCAAATTCAGAAACAATTATACTCGGTTCATCAAGGATTCGGAGATTTCTCAAGGTATTTCACAAAAGTTATTCATTGTTGAATCAACATTTTCTTTACCTTTAGCTAATGAAGTGACATTAATGACAAACATTTTTGAACAATCAACACATTCCTCTTCCTCAATTTCACTGATAATGTCAGATTCACCTTCAATATCAGCAAAATTTTGTTGGTACTTTCTGTCGAATTCTCAATCCTTTAGGATTTTGATTGGTTCATTTTTGGTCAAAGTCTCATTTACAATGTCAATAGGTTCATCAGTATTTAAACAATCATTAATATTCACAACACCATATGCATACAAATCATTAGGAATAATATCATAATCAGCTACTTTACTTTCACAACCAAAAGTAGTCTCGTCTACTAGTTCTCTTTTGAAAGTAATAAATGAGAGTAGCTTCCTATGTTGTTTTTTTACATATTTCTGATTAATGATAAAGTTCTATCAACTTTCCATACAGACGATTAGCTGTATTATAGTAAATGTTTCTCTGTTTTATTAACATGTTATTGTCCATACGAATCGAATATCTATCAATCATAATGTTCGTAATTTTTAACTTGTTGGGTCAATATTATGGTTTATACTTTGCTTTTCTAGGAAATTGTATTTTTATGTAATATCTTATGTGTTTACGGTCAAGTTTACAGCCAGGGAGGTGTTTACGGTCGTAAACCATGTTTACAACCCATGTTTACCTGGCCCATATTCTCATGTATATATAGGGGTGAGGGGTGTGAGGAAAAGAGTGATGAACACCAAGGAGCTTAAGTGTGTGCATTTGAAGGTGTTCTAAAAAGAGAGAAAAAGAGAGTGTGTGTGAATCTTGTATCCGGATCTTCATTCATATCAATACATACAAGATTCATATTATTCTTCTTCTCCTTCTCTTCTATTTGATCTGAAATCATCCGTTTGATTGGGATTCCGCACAATCAATCGGATCTGATTAATACACAGTCATTTTTGGGGACTTACATAACTCTAATCATTTTATCTTATTATTCCTCTCCTCCAAATTATTATGAGCTTTATAAAGTAAAGACCTTGATTTCTCCACTTCGCTACTCATAGAGATCAACATATCATTCAGGTTAGAGCATGTATCATCAATGTCAGATAAGGTCACACCCCCAAACCGGAACGGCAGAAACATTTGGGGGCGGAGGATGTTATATTTAGTATCACAACACATGCATCATAGTAATCAAAGTAACAAACAACCATTGCATTTATATTTAAGTGTTTACAAAGATATGTTTCACAAAAGATTGACTCCAAAAGTAAATAACAAAACAAGAAATGAAGCTACCATGCTTCATCTTCTGAATCCAAGCGCGAGTACATGTCTACTAGTTTCCTCAGAATACAAGTTATTTTGAAAGAGCAGATGAGCATTTAAGCTGGTGAGTTCATAAGATTTAAGTGATGTAAAGTAAGTTGTAAGTTCTTTTTAGAAAAGTTCGCATGTTCCTCCAGAAAATCCTATATTTTCTGATATGATGAGTGATAAGTAAAAATCACTTTACAATCCTTTCTATGAGTACTAAATGGATACAAGTTATATAGAACTTCGAGTAAACAGACAATCGATTGTGTGAACCTGCCCTAAGTCCACAACCAAACAAGGAACAGGAGATGAGGCGGAAGTCACACATCCCATTGTTTGTTAGATCTATTGTATAAAACTCTGGTGTATTCATTTGGTACTCACGGAGTTAACTGGAATAGTTCTTTATATTTGATGAAAACATTCTTTAAGAAAATCATATATTTCCTTTAGTAAAAATGGTAACCACAATAGTTCCTTCTATAATCACTTAGTTTATACAAGCTATATATAATCTAATATCGAGCAGACAGTTAAATGGATGAATCTACCCTAAACCCATAACCAAACAAGGAATAGGAAATAAGGCGGAAAGCACACATCCAACTACCTATCGGACTTTAATTACATATAATGATGATGTATAAACTAAGGTATTATAGAATTTACCACTAAGGGTCCTTTAAGTTATTCTGGTTTAATAAAATGGATTAAACCCTTTTAACGATAAGTTTCTAGTTTAGTCTTCTATCTGAAAAGTATGTTTCTGTACTAGAAAACAGTGTATTGAATTTGTATACTATGACCTGACCTGTACCTGGTACCCCTTATGATTACTTGGTGTATAGTGAGTATATATATAGCTAAGATCGAGTAGATAGTAGATTGGGTGCATCTGCTCTAAGCCCACAACCAAACAAGGAACATGAAATGAAGCAGAAAGCACACATTCTACCGTTTGCAGGATCTGATTAATATATATCCCTGATGTATCTACTGAGGAATCATAAAGTTAGCATTATAGACCCTCTTTTAACTGGACGTACTAAGACTCGACTGTTTTGATTGTCTTTTGTAATTATGTAAGTTTTCCCAAGCTTAAGACTATCTGTACTAGAAAATAGTTTGCATAACCTTTTATGTGAGGTGATTACTATATGAAGGAAATGGGAAAAAGAAAGTGTATAGTAGTATTGTAAAAAGTAACTACTGACCACTAACTACCTTAAAAACCAGTTTGTTAATTAAGGTTAAGATGTGATGTGGTTGTAACCATACTGATATGACACGTGTTTAACATGACGACCTACTGGTGCCAAAACTGATGTGATATTTTGTAACATCCCAAAATTCGAGGCCAAATATTTCACTTTTGATTAGGTGATTTATAAAATGGTTCATCAAAACATTGCCAAAATCATGCCAATACATAAAACCATAGTATCATGTTTCAAAACCAAATCATCTTAAATAACAAAATATCAGAGTACAATCCCAGAAAACTCTAAGCGGAAATCATAAGTGTGCGTGTGTGAAGCGCTGCTACACCGCCGGCTCCTTCCCCTTGGACAAAGAGGTACCTGAAACCAAAACTGAAACTATAAGCATAAAGCTTAGTGAGTTCCCCCATCATACCACATGCCATATAATCACATAGCATACATACTACCGGGCAATTCTAGGGCGCCCGTCCTACCCATGTCAAGCCATTATGGGGTGCTGACCTACCCATGCCAAGCCATTCTAAGGTGTTGACCTACCCATGTCAAGCTATTCTAGGGTGCTGACCTACCCTCTGGTCTATCTCAACCGAACACGGGGACTATTTCACCCCTACTACTAACACATAACATCATATCATAATCATGCTGTTAGACATATTTGGGGTGGTCGACCTACCCATTGGTCCTAACGATCGAATCGGGGACTGGTCCCCTTCTACTGATAATATCTCATATAACATGGCAATTAGAAAACTAGCATAGTCACATATCTAGCAGTCTAGCATACTCACATATCGAATAATCAGACCAGACAGTTATCACAAAGA